CGAGCGGGCGCCGCGCCCCCCCCGCCCCCCGCCAGGTCCTGTGGGGTCCAAGCCACGCTGCTCCGTGCCTCAGTTTCCCTCCCTCTTAGTGTGTGAGCTGCGAGGGCAGGGCCTGGCGCTGCTGGGCTGGGGGCAGCGGGGCACATGTCCTCCCGGTGTGCTCAGGCCCCTGGGGGCTCTGGGAGTGGGGGGGGCGCGGGTTATGTTGAGCCCAGGGTGTTTGGCAACCCCCGGCGGAGCTCTGGGAGGCGGGGAGGGGTTGAACAGCAGCTTCACCTCCCTGCAAAGAGGACGGAGCTGGGCTGTTCCCAGTGGGGGCAGATGACAGGACAAGGAGCAATGGGCTCCAGCTGCAGCAAGGGACGTTGAGGTTGGATATTAGGAACAACTTTCTCGCCAGGAGGGCGGCGAAGCGCTGGAGCAGGCTCCCCAGAGAGGTGGCAGCATCTCCATCCTTGGAGGTGTTTAAGCCCCAGGTAGACAAAGCCTTGGCTGGGATGGTGTAGCTGGGGCTGGTGCTGCTTGGAGCAGGGGCTGGACTGGATGTGACTCCCGAGGTCCCTGCAGCCCTGGTCGTGTCTGAGTCTGTCGTCCCGCCAAGGGGTGCACACGCCAACAGTTATACTGCTTTTTGCTTTGATCTTAAACAATACCATGGTGCCAGCGCCTCCCCCCTCCCACAGGAGAAAACTGGGGGGAAAAACACAACGGGAACATCACGAGGTCCCTTCAGAAACCCACGGGGCATCGATGCCTTGAACCCGGTGCCCGGCTCGGGTGCCCGCAGCCCCGGGAGGAGAGAGGAGAGCTGGAGACGGTGCGGAGCAGGGCAGCAAGCAGGCCCGGGGGCTGCGGAGGGGCTTGCTAGGAGCAGAGACTGAGGCCAGGCCTAGGAGAGACGCCGGAGGGGACAGGAGCAGGGTTTGCATTGCACTGAACGGGGAGGAGAAAGTCCCTGGGGTTTATTCCTGCCCGTCTCTGCCCGGACAGAGCGGGGATCCTGGCACGGGCAGCTGCCAACCAAGCCCAGGCCGTCCTGTCCCCCCGCGGGGC